CCAATATCTTAAGCAATCCATGAATATCATTCATCCATTATTTATCCCTTTCACAGCTAACTCATAAGCTCCACATAATATTAGCTATCAAAATCAACCAAATACATCACCTCTTGACCACCTTCAAAAAGTAAGCCTACAAATGTCTTATAAACCTAAATCACACCTATTGGGACTTCCTTTAATCTCTTAAACCCAATAAGATTACTTATCACAACCCTTAACTCTAATTTCCAACACCATCACTTAATCATTGGTATGTGTCTTGCAAAAAAGAATAAAATAAATATTTCCATAAGGAAACTTCATTAAGTGGATTTTCTTTTCACTCATGGAAACATTTCTAATTTTCAATCCTTTTAATTTTATAGGATCATAGATCATGTACTTTGAGCTTACACTAATATAATGTTACTATTAAATTTAATGAAAAATCCTTGTGAATAAGTTATAAACTATTCATATTTCGTCTAATTCTTTACTTAAGAAGTAACCTACCCTTGGCATTTTTTTCACAAGTGTCTATTGTTGTGAGGGATGCTCAAAATATAATTCTCCTTATCCTCAGCCTTTGGATGCGATTGAACATACTTTTGCTTGAAATATAACTCTTATTAAATTTTTAATTTCTAGTTATATGTTTTTTTATCATCAAATATTGCTAAGTTAATTATTGAAGAGATAACAAGCTTCTAATTTTTTTTTACCTCATACTATTACACTTTCATTATTAGTCATTAAGTCCTTTTCAAAAAAAAACTATGGAAAAAAATAGCATTTTTCAATATTAATACTATTAATTATTTCAGTTTACTTTTTATTTTCTTAAACTCAACATATTTTTGATGTGTACTTAGCATTTCCTTTTGACAACTTGAATTGGAATATGAAACCTCTTCCCTTGTGCAAGCAATGTTTAGAAAGAGTTACCTTATCTCTAGTCTAGCCATCGATCTTATCCAACACACATTACGTGAAATTGTTGAAATAAGACTGAAAAGTATTTGATGCAAAAGCTTCAATACGATCCTGACTAATGCGTCACATAACAAAATAAGAGAGTGAAAACACATTACGAAAGACATTAAGATTTTGCATGATAGAGTTATCTACGAAAAATTAAAATTGCAAGTTTGGCATACAAAATGAAGAGAGACACATCACATTCTTTGATAATGAAGTAAAAAACCCATGCACATAACTTAGAAAGAAGCACATATTATTTCCCAAATACAAGACAATGATGACTCAATAAGATAGCTAGCTCCCTCACTGGTATTAGTTGCCAATATATTATAATCCTACAACTCCAACGACTCAAAATGTGAGAGTATGAAATATACAGTCCAGAGTGTATGTCATGAAAGCCTCTAAAGCTTGAAAGCCCTTGATGAAGTAAGAGATCAGTTTTTGAATTTCAAAAAATACTTTTAACATTATTTTTAAATACATCAAGTGCAATAAACAAGGGGCATTTACATTTTACATACATGCCACACAATTCCTCTATATTTACACATCTAACACAAAGACTTTATTTTTTTTTTCATTTATGCCACCTAAATATTTCATATCACTTCAAAAACAACGCCATTTTGAATTTTAAAAAATTTAAATGCAACTTTTACGGGTTGATAAGTCATCAACAAATTTATCATTTGGCATGGATCTCAAATCACTTGGTACAAATCTTAGTGCAATTAGCACAAATCTTGAGACTATTTTTTGGAGTAAGATACGTTTAAACTTCGATTAAAAATCATCCAGACCTTCGATTTCAGCAAACTTACAATCAACCTGAAGCTCCTGCAGCCGTCGACCACCACCTCTTGACCACTATTGACCACCATCGGCCCCACCTGCTCGTTGCAGCTAAGTCCCTTATGGAGGCACAATATGCATTGCCGAATCCTAGTGTACGTTCTAGAACAGTGAAGTACCCGACAGAGCAATACGCCGTCCAGTACAACGACAGAGCAATACGCCGTCCAGTACAACGTATAACAATGCACCCTGAATATGATGCAACGACACAACCCGATGATGATGTAACAATACACTCCACATAAGGTGCAACAATGTCTCCCGAAGATGGTATAACAATGCACCACAAATATGGTGCAATGACACACCTCGATGAAAGTGTAAGGTGCAATGACTTCTAATGAAGATGGCGTAACAATGCACCCCAAAGATGGTGACTTTGTCCGAGACTCCTAAAACTCCTCCCTTGCAACTCCCAACTATTGCCTCCACGACCTATGGATGTCATTGCAGCTCACCACTACAACTTATGTACAAGAGACGACTTACGTGGTCCATAGCTTGTATATCTCATGACTTTGGCCTCTGTGACCTACGAGCATTATCACAACCATCATTACGGCCTTATGTGACCAATACAACCTATGTGATCCATAGCTCGTATAGCTCTCAGTTCTGACATTTGCAACCTATGGACGTTATCATAACTCATCATTACGGCCTACATGTGCCACAGCTCGTATATCTCGCAACTCCGACCCTTGTGGCCTATGAACGCCATCATAACTCACTATTACAGACTACGTGATCAACTACGACCTACGTGACAAAATACAACTATGTGGCTCACAGGTCGTGTAGCTTTTGACTCTGGCTCATACGACGACCTACATGACCAATTACGATTCACATGGCTCACAACTCGTTTTCCTCTCAACTCCGACCACTGTGGTCTTCGAACGCATGTAACTTATGAGACCAACTACGACCTCTAATAAACTACTACCTCCATAGCAATTGATTGCTGCCTTTGTAGTTTGTTATCATTGAAAATAACATTCATTACAACCAAACTACAACTATTATCGATGAACAACTATTATACATTTACAATTATTAATTTTGTAAGTCCTTTCTTAATTTAGATGAAGAGTTAACATATGTACTTATTATTCATAGTGGATGATTTCAACTAGGCTTGGATCTATGGTTTTTCTCATTTTCCATTATTTTCACATAAACCTTAAGCTGTATTATCCTGTTCATTTTCCTTTAATTATGTAAATGTGTGTTGGGTCTTCATACAATACTAAAATGATAAATTCAAAACTATACCGCTGCACACCTTCTAGCACACATAAGAAATATGATATTTATGTAAAAAAAAGGAGGTTTAGGCGTTATGTATGTAAATACATAAGAAATGAGTGGCGTGCATGTAAATCTTCCAACAAATAATTGATTGTAAAAGTATCCGTAAAAAATATCGGGGTGATCCCAGTAAGGATCGAACTCGTCTTATGTTCCAGGCGACGCCGAACATGCCCGCAGCCCTCAGCGGGAGCAAAATCCATCTCCCTTCACACAAATCGCTCGTGACGAGCTGCGGCTTCCTTCACGTTCTTCACCGGCGCAACTCAAGCAACTGCCCACGCCCGGGACTGCTCCCACATTCCGCCTCAACTACCAATGCGCAGATATGACTGGGGTTAGGGCATGACAACTCTCACCCCACAGCCTCCGACCCTTAGCATGATAGTCACCCAATCTCTCTGCACCAAAATTCTTCTCTATGAAATCTTAGCTTCAAGTCTCAACCTCCCTCGTCGATCTACAGGCAACAGCAAACATCTTAGTAACCAGGAGCCTTCTCCCTTCCATCAAGAGCACTCGAGCGTTGAGTCTCCTCTTCATTTCAACCTCCTTTCTACTTCCTCCTTCCAACAACAGCCGCCGTTTCACCTTGCAAACATCGGTTAAATTTCTTGTTCTAACACTTGAGTTTTACTTTGATGAACTTTAGAGAAGAATTGTTAACCTCTACTGATTATTACCTGTATTAGTTTAGGATGTTTGAAATTATATTGTGCAAGTTTGTCAACCCTATTGTTGAAATTCTATTATGTGTACCCATAATATAGATTTCATCTTTTTATGTTCATAATGAATTATATGAATAATTTCATGTTAATTATTACTGCATCAATTTATTTTTAATACTTTTTGTCCCTTTATGCTATTGCTATTATAAATTTTATTTCTACAAATCTTGCTTGTTATATAAACAAAATTGGTCATATTATTAATAGTATTTCTAATAATGATTTTTTATGATGTATGAAATATGCATGTTATTAAAATAATACTATGTCGGTAGTAAACTATTTATTAATGATTAGTTGAATCAACACATTTTTAGAGAAATCATTGGTTTTCCATGAGATTGATATCCACCTTTCTTTTGTTTCAAAGCGTCGTAGAAAATCTTTTTGTTTCAGACTGTGCGCTTTTAGATTCATATCTTATCTAGTAGAAATAAATAATCAATGTCGTGTATGAATATTTATTAAGTATACGTGCTATTTTTACATATAAATATTAACATAGAAGTGCATTATTGCGATCACTTATACTCATAATCATAAAAATAGTCATACTCAATGCTTTATGAACAAATGACAATTTTATTATTGCAATGCCACTGTAATTTAGATAATTAGTAACATCAATTATCCTATTAATACATATATAACAATTTATAATATTTTGAATTATGTATGTCCTAATGCATTGCCATTTTGATTTTAATACATAATAAGTATTTGTCAAGCTTGATTTATCAAACTCGTTTGTGATAATTTTCTTAAAACACATTCAACCATTGTTATTAGTAGACCCTCATCACATAGATCAGATTTTTAATAAAGTCAGTAAGTTCTGAACAATCAAAGCCCAATTTCTTCTAGGGGTTCAGCCGTCAAGTCGTCAAAATAATTACATACAAATTCTGAATCAGTTCCTTGACAACTTGGATACATGATTTGCACTAGTAAAACTCTAGCAAAAAAAAAAAAAAATCATGGTCTTTTTCATGGTCTTTTAGCATTGAAGAACAAAATGAAAACAATCCCAAAAAACAATTATATGATTTCATTTAAGAGAACAAATACCAAATAAAAAGCAGGCATGTCTTCATATGGTTCAATGTGATTCTACAAGCTATAATAAAGCAGAAATTATCACCTCCCTAACCAAAATAAGACCTGAAGGCCAAAAAAAAGTAACAATGATAAATACAATGTTATGATAATTACAAATTACATAATTGCTACAAATTCACTACCAATTTGTGTGCTCCAATCTCGTCTAACTCACAAAAGTACTATAAATTATTATTATTATTATTATTTTTTTAAATTCTAGGTCATTTCATGTTCCGCTTTCAGCTGAAGAACTGCAATTGGGCGCTGAACATTGTTTCTCAAATCTGGTATTTCATTAATGAACTGATTATTTGAATCAATTTGATGAGGGGCAGAGTTATTTCTATTGGGAGGAAGAGCATAAGGATGTGTGTTATGGCTACTGTTCCTAGCAGCAGGAACATCATGGTTGTGCTTACCCTCGTAAGTTGTTATGACTGCTTTGGCATCAGTTGAAGCCCTTTCAACATGCTTTCGAACATTGCATCCTGCATGAGTGCACTTGTAATAACTCCTGCAGATTATAGCAAAAAGTAAAAATGAAGTTAAAAAAAAATTTTCTTATATCATATTACTATATCATAAAAAACCTTATCACAGTTTATTGGGATTGACTGTGAACTAAAATATAGAATTCTTACTTCTGTTAGCAATAGTTTTCTTACTCTATGTTGGTGAGACAGCAATAATGAAGAATAGTCCACAAATGCAAATAAAAAAATACATATTTTTATTTCAGGTCTATGTTCTTCGGTCAAATATCTAGAGGAAAGTTCCACCCCACAACAACAACAATGAAGGCGGTTCCATGTTATCATGCTGTAGAAATAAAGGTGAACAATCATCTGGACATATAATTTCTTCATGTTGTTTCATTAAGGAAGATTTCATTTTCCAATCGTCCTCACACACATGAGAGTCTAGCGCATCTTCACTGTCTCCATAGAGTTGATCTCTTATGTTTAGGTCGACAAAAGTCATTTGTGGTTTGAGGAGGTTGAAAATAGTCTTTCACACTCCTCCCAATCTCTATCATTGCATCATTATCCTCATAGACTTCTCATTGATGGCCATTGGAGCCATGAGCACATCTCTTGCTACAAGAAAAGCTATTTTAAAGTCTTCTCATATGACCTAGACAATGGGAGGTCCCACTAACATTCAGAGGAAACTCTAGTTCGTGATCTCTCTAAGACATTTACTTATCGTGTGGTAATAAGCTTAGAGCCTTAGAAAGAATCCATCACCGCATTGGATCCGACATCAGAGATCGTCAGTATTGTTGTTACAAAATCAGAGCCTAATAAAACATGATAAGCGACTATAACTAAGAATTGTTGTAGTGACTAAATATTAGAGAATATAAGCTGTGAAATTCTAACAATCTTTCGTAGGACCAATACAAATGACAAAATGGAGCCTCTTTAAAGGTAGATTCCAAACTTGTAGACTTCCGCCATAGGGGTAGCAAAGCAATTTCTTTTGCATGATCCATACGTAGCGGAGCTTGCCCCTCATTTCTCTGCCTCTTTTTTTGAAATTAGCTTCTTTTTAACTCGATTTGAATGTCTTATAATCTATGAAGAAGATTTACATAAATACCACTTATATCCTATATATTTGTATATTTAGCACCTAAACTTCAATGTCTACATATACACCACCTTACCTATACATGAAAAGGTGTATTTCACTTTTTAAAAGTTAAAATGGTTATTTTTCAATATGGTGCGAAAATTTTGGGTTGTAAAATGTAAAAAGTAAAGTTTAGATGTTAGATATGTAAATACATAGAAATTTTGTAGTAGGTATGTAAATGCTCCAATCTATAAATAGACATTGGTTGCATCACTTAAAATATTATTTTGAATAAAATTATTTAAAAAAAAAAATCTTCCTCTTTCAAGAATTTGGCTTGGTAGTTGAAATTGTTAATTTCCTTTGTCGTGTTTCTTCTCAAACCCTAACCACACCACAATAAATCCCTAAATCTTCTAACAACCTTCCAACATCCTACAAGAAAGAGAAAGCCAATCCTCTGCATAAGCATCACTACCTCCGTCAGAATCAATGTTACAATATTTTAGGTTAACCTTCCAGCTGCTTCATAGATTTTATTTTTAAACACTGATTATTTTCTGACCTCTAAGAAAACAAATAATTGAATCATCAATTATGACACTCACATTAAAAAAAAAATGTATATTACCAGTCTCATTTATAGAAAATTATATATATATAAGCATTTCAAATCAAATAATAGGATATAAAACAAATTAATATTGAGATTCAAGCCCTTCAAACTGCTTAAGCTTTAAAGTGAAATTTTATAACATAAACAAAATTTACGTTAAATCTAATTTCAAATTTATTAATTACAAGTATCAAAATAAACTTTTTTCAACTTGAGAAAATAATTTCTTTAGTTGGGAAAAGCTCGTCACAGCAGCATTTATCTCTTAGTGCTTACCCTTTGTTTTTCTCACATTTAAAATAAAGGGAGACGCTTTGTTTTCAACCCACATAACATAATCAACCTCTAAACCAATCATTTTCATAAATCATTGGTTAAATCTTATGTATTTTGAATTAGCTTTATTGTTTTGAAATTGAATACATTCTATTAGGAATTGAAGGTGCCAATTGTAGGACAAATCAAGCGTATGGAGCAAGGGATTGATGTGCAAAACCACATCTTAACATTTAGATAGAGGCCATTTCAATGACTCAAACATAGAATCTCCACAATATACTAAACACAACATAAGCACTGCAATAGGCTTGCCAAGTTCTACTTTACCTAATTGTTTTGGGAAATCAGTAAGCATTTACTTAGAGTCCACACAAATCTTTTTTTTCCATAACGCCTTTCAACATCAATGTAAGACATTATTTTACACAATTCTTGCTTCAATTTCAAAAGTAGAATTGAATCCAATTGACTCCGCCATATAATTTAAAGCACTCTTTGGTCCATAGCATCCATGAAGACAACCATTTTCCCCTCAGCTATTCATTATTGAAGTTTTCTGTCATTTTTCACAAGTCCCCAAGGAGTATGGAGCCATTAAACTATGCTTCTAAAATCTAGGGAGTTTGTTGCATATCACATATGTGGAAAAGAATATTATTTTTTTTTTGTTATCTTGTCATCATGTTCTTAGATTATTGTTATTTCACAGAAGTTATTAAAGTCAATGTCATTAAATTTGGTTTGCCATCAAATTATTAGCAGTTCATTAATTTGCTAGCAAGATGTCAGCAATTTAGTATTTTTTTTTTCTGTCATCTACGTATATAGGAATCCAAATCATGTAAGCAAGTTAATGACATGAATAAAATTATTATTAAGAATGTGGAGACTCTTGTTCATCTATTCCAAGATTTGCTCATCAACCAAAGTGAGACTTAAAGAATTTTGGAAGATATTATTTTCTCATACAAATGTTAAGCTTATCTTATTATGATTATTTTTTTTTATCTTTACCATCATTTCTTACTTTTTCTAGTTTATTTTCATGAATTGAACTACCAAAATCACCATTTACATGAACAATGAACAATGGAGTGTTGAAAAAAATGGTGAAAAACAAGCGACGGAAAGAAAAGAAAGAGAAAAAAAGAAAATCCTACAAAATTTCTTAAATCCACTATGGTTCCAATGAATCTTCAAGCAATCCGGCTTCTACAAGGTATCAGCTTTCTTCTTCACAGACCACAAAACATCTTATTCAAAGGAATTAATAAGAAAGTCAAGTTTTAATTGTGCACTATGATCCAATTGGATTTTCTCATTATCCAAAAACAGCACAAATAGCAATTCTCATACTAGAACTTCTATATAAACTTGTTGATCCTCCTTCAAGATCATTTCATCCTATAGTCCAATGAAAGTACCATCCATCATTCAATGATACATAGTTAATGGGGCATGATGTTCACTTCAAGTGTATTATAAAACTACCACATTTTTAATTAATGTATTGTAGCAGGGCAGATGACGTGGGAATAAATATTGAGTGCAAGTGATTGTCCTTAGAATTTGTTAATTTACAAGGTTTGTTCTACTAAAATAAATTAGGTTTGTTAGCGATTTTCACATCAAATAGAATTGTTTTGGGCATTAAATAGATTCAGCAAAAGAGAGAATGTAGTGAAATGACAGCATAAGTATTATATTGATTTACTCCAAATACCTTTCAGAATATTTTGAACTACTGCTATTGAATTATTTGAATCTCACTCATAATAGCCTGTGTAAAAAGTTTGAAAGAATGAAATACCTCGGATGAGGATTTCCTTTTACTACTTTTTGTCCATATTTGCGCCACCTATATCCATCATCCAAAAGATCAACTTCGCTTGTTGTTTGCACAATGATCCTTGGTTCTGTCACCATCCTATGAGAAGCTGCCGACTCTATTACCCTTGTTTCCAGATTCCTTTCGAAAGAAACAATATTTTAATTTTCAGAAACTATAGTAAATAAGTAAATTTATCTTTTGTTGTAAAATCTAACCTTCTTTTCTGTTCAGATTCGCCGCCATACTCCGCTTCATCTACTCCTGCTTCAGCATCTCCTAACTCCTCAGCGTCACTAGAACCTGTTAGCTGCTCAGATGCTCCATGTACAGATTCTCGGGATCTTTTAGATCCCTCGCTTGATCTGTTCAAGTATGAAATATCACCCTGTGTGCGAGAGTCAGCATTATTAGGATCAGAACTTCCACTAAACTCAGCCGTCCCATCCTTCGATCGTTTGTTAGGTGGAGGCTTCTGGTGATTGTGTTGACCCTTGTAGATTATCTCAGTTACATGGCCATCCAAGGAACGTTCAACCTTTTTCTTAACTGGACATTTTGGGTGGGTACATTTGTAATAGCTCCTTGGAAATTCACTTCCTTTAACCTGTTTCTGCCCATACTTGCGCCAGTTGTAGCCGTCATCAACAGGCTTATCAACAACAAGAGCTGTTGGCTGAGCTTTTTGGTCACAATGAGACATAAGAGCAGACCCAGAATTATATGAACTGGAAGTTAGGGATTGCACTGGCTGAGTTGTGGCCATATTAATGGTGGAAACCTGCTGCGTCAAGGAAGCTGACGGAAGAGAAGATGGATATTCTGTCTGGCTGTGAATTTGAGCATGAGAATGGGCAGCTTGTGCGGTTACTTGTGCCAATGCCTGTTGATGTGACATTCCAAACTGTCCCTGCATAAAGCCATCAATCAAATCTCTCAAACTTAAGATTTCCTATAAATAGGTCTAAAATTTAAGTCTTGGATAGCCGTGTGCCTGTTAACATGGACTTTAATGGTTTTAACCAACAAGTTTCAAACCATAGCTGCCCATCAACTCCTATAAACACTCTGATCTGCATTAGATGTTGGGGGAAATCCAATGATTTAGAGAGTCTATGATCCAGCATAGATTTCATCAGATTAAAAATGCATTACTAATGGAATGGTGTGATATCCAAATGCAAACACTGAACTTGTTATGACTAACCCTAAAGGGGCGTTGGCTATACCCATGATTTAACTTAAATATGATTTAATAAATACTGTAAATCTGGATTTATCAAATCTAAAGGGGTTAAACCTAGAAAAATGTTTGGCTCCATTAAAGTTAAATCCCACGAAATTCCTTTGAAGTATTTGGTGATGAGAAGCGACATCTCATAGGTCCTCACTTTAATCCGTTTAATTCACCTAATAATTGGATTTTTAATAAATCAAGGATTTCCGTTAAAAACCTGTGAAAATTTTGGATTTAGAAAAAGATGGGATTTAACCTCGGTTATTTTGCATTTGGCAGATGCCACTATTATTGCAGTCTCACAAATCATTCATTAAGATAGTTCTGAAATAAATATGAATCCTCTCGCATACCAGCCATTTGATTCTTGGATCGCTTGCCTCAGGGAGCAGCAAGCATAAATGAATAGAGGAGGATTCATCAAGCCAACACAAAAAAGTAGGGATATAGCTAATGATGATGATCCTCATCTATTGAAACAAACTTCCACACATAACATTGAACTAGAAAACCACGAGTTATCATTTCAACGTCTTCCATCAACTAGTTAGCCTGGTAACTGGATAGCATCTTAGAAACAGTCTCTTTGAGAGTGCTGAAATGGAAATCAAGATTGGCTCATCACTCCAAGAGTACTCGTGTTATTGGTTGATTAAGAAAGGTTTCGTGATCTATCAAGTGGCATTTGATCAAGTAGAAACATTCCTGGTCTACCTTAACATGTGTGCAATGTAATGTGATGGTGCAAAGTGGACCTCCGCAGTGGCACATGCAAAGGCAATGAAGAGGAGACATGCTAAAAGGTATTATTCTTAGGGTCCACGAGGGATCAATTTCTCTTTTATTATTATTTTATTTATTTTTGATTTGCAACTAAATATATTTGACATGTTCGATTAAGATATGATTGTTTTTAAAAAACATTCAAAACATTTAAAGTTGTTTTGTTTGTTTTTTAAAACATGTTAATTTGTTTTCAGAAACAAAAAATAAAAACATGTTAAAAATCACCCTAAACAAATATATTATTAAAATCAAAACAATAATAAAAAAACAAAAATTAAAGATAAAATTGTTCATAAACAAGTCCTTAGCAAATAAGCAATTTAAAGAAAATAACCATATTATTACAATGTCTATCACTTAAAAAATAATTCACTTAAAAAACAATTTCTAGAATTAATCAACATATAAAAGTGATTTTTGTCCATGCATTTGGCCATTTTTTGAATGATTACAAGCCAACAAACCTCAAACATATATCACATTAGCAAAATTATAAGCAGTAGTACTTTAGCAAGCTATGAATTTTTCCCATTATACAATACAACACAAATTAAATCAAAAGATAATTATCTAATCTAGTCAACAAATACAAAAATGATGAAATTTTTAATTTTGAAGCTTACAGAGGTATCATTTAATGAGAAAGTGTTGCAATTTGTTTACTAATTGAACATGACAATATCCATAAATTGATCAAAAGACACTAAAATTAGGGCATATAAGGTCATTGGATTTAGTCTTGTAATAGATAATAAGATAATATATTTTTATATGAGTACTGAGTAATTAAACTTCACCCGCAGGCTTAAGTTATTGGGTTGAAAAAAGATTTGACCATTAGTGTATCTTACCCAACTTTGAATTCCTTTTGGTTAACACTCCCTAAACAATTTACATCACAACTGATGCTTCAGCCTGAATCTAGTTGCTCATGTGGTTTATGAATCTAGCTCCAATTAGTCTTTATAACAGCTGGGTCATCTAAACCACTTGAAAACTCCACAGAATATAAAGAGATCATTGAAGCATTGCAAAATCTAACTATAACCAGACCAGATATTTCATTCGCTGTTAATCAGCTTCGCCAGCACATGCATAATCCAACTACGCTCCAAAAATTAGCTACTTAAAAGATTACTTAGATACTTACAGAGGAACAGCAGACTCGGGCATTCGCATTACACTCGATGAACTTTCTCTCCAAACCTACTCCAATGCAAACTGGTCGGGTGACTAGGCTGACAGAAGGTTGACAACAGGGTTTTGCTCCTTTTTGGGCAACACACCTATCTTTTGAATAGTAAAGAAAGAACATACAAAGCTTTAGCAGCTAAAAATTCAGCTATCATATGGTTAAGATGTCTCCTCAACAAACTAGACACCGAAACAACACCAACCAACCAATCAATTTATAATGTGACAATGTCTCAGCAATGGCAAGTGCAAACAACCCAATCATACATGCTAGACTAAACACAGAGAAATAAATTATCACTTTATTCAAGATCACATCCATTCTGGCCAATTTCAAATACATTATATCGATATTCAGAACCAACTGGCTGACATTTTTACCATATCACTGTTATTCACTGGCCAAACAGAGGTTCTACTTGTTTAAATCCAAGCTTCGGGTCCTTGCCAAGATCCATCAACTTGCAGGAGGGTAACAACCTGAACATACCAGGACTACACCAGAAGGAATATTCGGTTGCCTGTAACTACCCTGGGCAATTGTGGAACTGCAGAGCAAATTAGTACTTATGAACATCTCATATATGATTACAGAATTCCCTCTATTATACCTTCTGTTCCTGTACCTGATTCTTAAAGTTCTATACTACCTAACCACCCATGAAGCTCCAATAACATTAGCTAAAGTATCAAAACCTAAATTCAAGACGATGCTGACAAAATCAGGGAACATCAACAAAGTCAGTTAAAGATGCTTGCTTTGCATTCCCAGTCTGAAAATTTCAGCAAAAAAATCAACCACAAAATTGGAGGAAGAAACTGAAACATAGCAAAACTTATTTATATGTAATACAGAAATCCAACAAACAATTAGGAAAAGATACTATCAGAAAGCTTAAACCTTAAACGCACCAAATTAGAGAACATGGCGGGAGAATCGAGCAATCCCCCGGGGCTGAGTCCAGGTGGAACAGTGAAGTACGGTGATTGCGCCACCAACAAGTTCATCGGCCGGCTATGCCCTAAATTCAAACTCGTCCTTCCTCGCTCATCTTCTCTTCCACCTTTCCCACGCACATCCGCAACCATCGTCTCCACCGACGTACGCGCCGCCGTAATCGCCGCAGGAGAAGCCATCGCGCCGGCGAGCAGCTGTGAAAAGGAGCGGCACTCCGACTCCGGATCCTCTGCAAAAAAACTGGAAACCAGAGTCATCGGACCAGGACTCGCCTCTGCAACCCCTCCGCGAAAAAGGCTTTCAACCGTGGATCGCGGAGGGAGCGATATCGACGGCCGCTTCGGCCCTTCCGACGTTGCCCCCCCGCCTCCCGCGCCGCCTCCGCCGCCTTCGGCCATGGGATTGGATTTGATGGGGATTCGAACTCTAACTCATGTACCGATGGATCCCAAAATAAAAATCCAATCTTTAGCAGAGAATTGTTTATTGCAGACTTCGCAGGTTGCTCTTTGAAGCGCCTGAGGTTGTTGATTGAAGCATTAGTATCAAGCTTGGAACATGCGGAGAGCTGTTGAAGAAGTCATGGCGTGGAAATTTGGAGACCGAGGAGAGAAGATGGAGAAGAGAGACCCGGATGGAGTTAATTCCCTCCAATCTCTCAATTTAGATGCAAATGAGTGGCGTTGACTCCAACAGTGGGTTGCAGATTTTCAGATAAGAATTGTTTGCTGTGCAAATGACGGAATCAACCCTGTTCAATTGAATGTTTAGATGCTGAAATTTTTTTACAATTTAGTAATTTTCGCATTGCTTGTTTTATTGTTTAACAGCTTAGTCTATTTTATCGCAATTTTTTTTGGGATAATATTGTAAAATATAGGTTCTATTAGATTATTAGACTTATTTTATTTTGAATCAATTTTATAAATATTTGTTTTCTATTTATTATGATTGAAGGGGATATGAGATGCTAAATCAACTTTTTATAAATTAATCTTAATAATTTATATGTGATGTTCTAATTGACACTAATTTCATCTATATAGTGATTGTGTTTTTCATGATGTATGTGTCTACATATCAAAATATTTTAGTATGTATGGGATGCATGGAGCTTCTTAGTATAATTGAAATGTAAAATATACACAATTTTATTAATTCACCCCAAAATATTATATCATAAAGTTTTTTAATCAAGAATGGTAGGGGTGAAGTGGACACCTTCAACTATGAGACACTTTCAACATCTTTTGAGGTCCACTAATTAAAAATCCTCTTAATTTAAACATTTAGCATACACAATTAATTCGATAGTTATGCTAATGTGTGAAATTCATCATAAGATATGCAAATGCAAAAAATAAGTTACAAAATGTGACATGCTAATACTCATTGTTTAAGAGTGCGTTGCAATTAAAGAGTTGTACACGTTTAAATTTATAACAAAGGTTTGAAATTGATTAAATAATGCAAGAGACGTCACACGAGTCTAATGAAAGTGTAGGCTTTTATGCAACTAACTAATGAACCACTGAGCATAATTAGTATGAATATCAAAACTCCACAAGCCTATGCAATTTACTCCACCAATAGTTACACAAATGCATAAATCTAATTGAATTTGGTGATGATAATGATCAATATACGAAGATATGAGGTATATATTTGCTTCAATGCAATGTAAGAAATTACATACTTATAGCTTGAAGAATTTGAATGGCATTTATCACTAATTTAGCGTCCAAATCTTAAGTAGATAAGTATGTCAAGTTAGAAGTAATGTGAAGTAGCTATTAAGCAATTTTTACACAATCCTTTTTTCTTTAAAAACATGATTAGACCATCTAACACCATATATTTATGCTTAAGCCATCCGCTAATTTATGATTCCTAAAATATGGAATTTTGTCAATTATCAGCTTCCATTGCAAGTTCAAATCATTCACTCATGTAATAAATGGAGAAGCATTTACATCATTTAGTTCGAAGGCAAAAGCATATTATCCATTTGATCCAAAAGGATGTCAAGTCTTGCTAAGCATGCCACTAGGAATAATATAAATTTAATGCATACTAAAGTTTATTTGTGTTAGAATCAAGCTGGACTATCGCGCCTCCAAGTGATCTAAATCACAACTCTCAGATCGACCCCTTTTTTAATGTGAATTGCCTACCAACCGATTCAGGCATGTTATCACCTTTGTTTGAAACATTTCCTGTTTTATTTTGCCACTTTTTGGTTCGCCCAGATTTCACAAATCTCTTCTATCACTCAATACTGATCCATCACATCACCGTTACACTCGATATATTGAGGACATTGGGCTAATCCTGAGATGACCCGAACCTGACCTGAATATTATACGGGTAAAAAATCCCATCCCAAATCTAACCCGCCTTCAACGTGCCAACCTGAACCCGAAACGTATAACATGTTTAACATAAGGAATAATAGCTATTTGGGTTTAAATCAATTTAATTCCGGGTTGGCATATTGATTTCAAGTCAATTTAGGATTTGTGGGTCATCTTTAGATCATTTTTGAGTTGGTGAGACAACCTAATCTCGACCCTTAAAATTAAATGGTTTCGGTTTCAGATACTTAACAGAACCAAATCCAAAAATTATTCGGGTCAACTCAATCCAAGATTTTCAAGTCGGGTTCGTGTCAAGTTGGAGTCTGGTAAATTTTTGACACCCCTACTCTCTAGTAGTCGTCGGCCCTTCCTTCATAGTCTTTGAAGCTCCTTCATTATTCACCCTTTTTTCTCCGAGAAGTCCTATACGTCGAGGCCTTTTAGCGAACATGGAGTTTTTCTTCTTATGCTTCTCTATCCTACTAAAAGTTGCATACTCATTCTTTCTTTTATTTCTTATTCAGAGTAGTACTCTTAAGTTCATCATCTCCACCTCACAATCGTCAGTTATATTCCTCGTTGTGAAACATTGGGGAACTCATAAGTTATCTGATCTTCCTCCTTAAATTTTTTCTCTCTTTTTTAGCCTTTTTATTAGTATCAAAGCTATAAATTGATTTGTACATTTTTTAATCATTTGGCATTGCTTTGTTAAGTTATAGGTTAGCCTTGTTAGGCTCTAATGTTTTATTATTTGTATTTAATCAAATACTTGGGTACTGGTGCACTTGAGACTCTTTAGGTTCAACCAATAACTCTTCAATCCTTGCTTGAGTTGGGATAGAATATGATGGATGTTTGCATGTGTTCAAGCCTTTAATATAATTTAGATGTTAATTTTAATTTTTGGTTGTAGGGCACTCAAGCAAATTTTCCTTTAGTGAGATGGGTTGAACCTCTAATATATTGAGATGTCTTGTGTTGCTCACATCGAGATATATAGTTATTATTTATTAGAGGATAAATATATTATTTATTTTTCATGGCTTTATTGTTGCTTGTATTTGATTCCTGGTTACTTTTTAGGATTGTCAGTACTACAGTGTATTCTTCATTTATATTGTTAAACACCTATTATTTGATTCTTCTTTTTTTTTATCAAGTCAATATGTGTGCATTGAATTATTATTGCATAGATTCTTACATATTAGATTTAATTTTGCAGTCATATTGCTTGCTTCTCATACCCATTACTCTTGTTAATTGCAACATATTTTTCATGTTATAATCAAAGTTAAATTATTAATATTATTGGTCATAGTAGTTATAACATATTTTTTAAAGAATTTGTAATTGTATACACGTAGTGGTGTGTAATTCAACAAAAACCTTTAAGATGTTGCTTAGTCAGGTTTATGCACCATAGTGTCGATTTCTCGGGATTATTTATTTTTTTGTTTATGGGTCAGGCTCCCTCGTGCTGCTACAATAATTCTACTACAATACTTTGCCACTATATTTTTGATCATTTTGCTTTGTAAATTTGTTACACAACACTAAACAAAAACATCACAAGAACATACAAAAATATAATTTTTAAGCACAAATAAACAATCATTTTTACATATTTTTAACCCTAAACAACTTCATAGCCACAGTCGGATCTTCATCATTGAAACAACACTATTATATTATTATTACATAGTCCCACCAACGTTGGCAACATTGAATTCATATCTTCATCGCATAGCCTCAGCCATCGATTTTCAATCATCACAGTCGGATCACTGTCACTTCTCCAATATTTTATGCTATGATCCTCTAGTGAAAGTAGAGTGGATAACTCCCCCTTCTAGTATTATTTTCAGATGGTTAATGACAAACAAAGTCCTATAATATATATTTGAATAGTGAAACCATTTCATTGTCTGAGCTAGATCCCATGGTTATTTTTCTTTCAAAATTTTCACATGAAAACCCTAGTGTCACCTATATCACATCTTCTTATATCAGTGTTCTCTTTGACTTTCATACAATGCTAAAACGTCAATAATACTATTATTACCATACACAAAAAAAACATTCAAATTCCTTGAAATTTTATATAAAAAAATCAAGTTTATATTAAATGAATAGACATTTGTCTTATTTTTCTTATCAATTAAGAAGATTATAATAAAGAGAAGAATAAAGAGGGAGAGAGCCAAGAAACAAAAAGAAGTGAGATAAAAAGAGCCAGCGAGGAAGCAGAAGCACAATACGGCAAGGCATCACCATGCTATTCCATTTCCCCTTTTTTCCTTCATCTCATTTTCACTCTATTTCTCTCTCTTCTTCATTCACAATCTCATGCAACACTAAAACGTCTCTCTCTCTCTTTCAGCCATTTTACCATATTATAATCATGGTTGGTACAGAAATATAATGCACTGACATATCAAATTGAATAACCACGAATCGTATTATCTCTCTCTACGTTAATGGTATTTCTCTCTCTACCAAAAAGTACCCAACGATCATTAATACGTTTGGCGCAGCTTATTGCTGTGTCCGGCGTTTTCGGAATGCCGTTGGCTCGTTTGTTTCGCGCGTAAATTTTTTTTTAAGAGAACCCTCGATCTTTCGCCGCTCAAAATATGGTGCGGATTATTGTGCATTTGGTGTTCGAAGCAGACAAATAATAATAATACAAATAATCTTGTCAATCTGTCCAAACTACATCATATGAATAGGACCTGTTAATAGATAACTTTAGAGAGTTCAAATGATTCGACCGTTTATATCTAATGGGTTTTTGGCATGACTCGATGAGGTTGCAGAA